CCTCATGTCCTAGGAAGGTGGGCCATATGAAATGACCAACCGTCCTGGTTTGTCTGGTACTGTCCTGGTCTTAGCACTGAAAGTCTTGCATTCTGGGGACCACCCAGTCCTGGGCAGACCAGGACAGTTGGTCGTCCTGCCTGTGGTATTCCCAACAATGTGTTTTTGCTTCAATGTTTTCCTGGTCATTCAAGGAATCAGACTTGCTTTCCATTTCCCTCTCCCCACACCCTTTACATTTCCCTCCTATCACCTCTTGGTAGGCGTTTTGAGTAGGTAGGTATGGGAGGAGGTCGAGGAATAAAGATGGATAAAAGACTGGGTGCCCTTGGGGAGGCTATTAGATGGAGGCAAGGATAGAGGGGAGAAGTGGTAGGATGGTGATGGGGGGGGCGGTCTTAGCAGTCCTCCACTGGGAGGTTGTAGAGAGGTAGCTCCTGGTGGGTAGAAATCGCTCTGATCCACACCGTCTCTTCACAGGACGAGGAGCCCCCAGCTTTGCCTCCCAGGACTCCGGAAGTCCTGCAGCTGGAGGAAGAGCCTGTGTATGAAGCAGAGCCTGAGCCTGAGCCTGAGCCTGAGAATGACTATGAGGATGTTGGAGACACGGACAGACATGAGCAGGATGGTGAAACAGATGGGGACTATGAAGATGTGCTTGAAACTGAGAATCCTCCTTGTCCTTCCACTCTGGCCGGTGAGTGGTAGGGGAGAAACAGCTCCTGAATTGGGTCTAGTTCAGGGAAGGGCAAGAGGAAGAATTGCCCCCTTCCCTAGAAGGACCTGTTTTCCTTCTCCATGTTGGTGAGACTATGTTTGTGTCTCTCATTATGCAGAATCATCTGGCTACCCAGCTGGGACTGGAGCAGGGATCTCAGCTATAGCCCTGTATGATTACCAAGGAGGTAGGTTTGGAGCGGCCTGAGGGGTCTGGTGCCTGGGGGCCCTTACTAGGAGAGAGGGAGATGGATTCTGGGGGTCAGGGAAGGACCAGCCTTGGCATCAAGAAGAACAGCCCCTTTCTCTCCCTGAGGTTTACAGTGGGCACAGGAATGGAAGGATTACTGTTTGACCATCTTAATATTCCATCAATTGCCTCCCCAGAGGGAAGCGACGAGATTTCCTTCGATCCTGATGACATCATCACTGACATTGAGATGGTGGACGAGGGCTGGTGGCGGGGACATTGCCACGGCCACTTTGGACTCTTTCCTGCAAATTATGTCAAGCTCCTCCAGTAAATGGCCCTCCCTGTCTTCTGCTCAGTGACTTCCCGTGTCCAAAGTTGTTCTGCCTCCACCCATGCCCCATTCCTGCTGCAAGTGTCATGAGTTGCCTGATATTCTAAACAGACTTTCTTCTCCCTCTCCACTAGGGGTTGGGGCAGAGACAACATGAAGAAGGGGTCTCCTTCCACTCAGTGTCCTCTCTACCCTAGATGAGCTCATGCACGTTTATGTTGTGGTCCTTCCTCCTTCCCCATGAATGCTCCTTCAAATACTCTTAAGTTCTGCCTTGCTCCGTTTGTGAGCTCTGAGCTTCCTGGTTTGCTTATATGGGAAGGTATGTCTAGATTGCCTGGTTTGCTTGGCTGTGCTATTTGCCCACTTTCCTTTTCTGTGGAGAAATCTTTTTAATCTTCTCTCTGTTCAGTTACATCAGAAATAAAGTGGGACTATGATTCATTTCTGTGCTGAGGTAAATAGTACTTTTTATGCAGCCCTTAATGGCCCTACTCTCACGGCTCCAATTCTCCTTCCGTCTTTCAGGCACATCTAGACGACTCCCTCCTACCACTGCCCATTGCCCTGCGCCCTGGATATCAAGGGTTGGGCCTTTTCCTTAGACTGTACCTAAACCCAATCCAAAACACATTGACCTGGAAAATGGCAGTAAGGTGGGGGGGCCAGGGGACCAGGAAGTTCAACTTTTTTGGCTTCAGCAGTTGTGAGAGGCCAGCCACCTTCTTTCTGGGAATAATGAGTACATTCTTTTAGGACATGATTCTTGAGGAAGAAACACAAATTGGGGGATTGAAAGGAGGAAAAGGGAGATTTGGCCAATAAAAAAGGACTAAAGCTAAAGGACCACAGGCTCCGATGAGGTGTTAAGAGGTGTTAGGGTCAGAGACAATGGCCTCTACTAGAGAAAGTTCAGGCTTCCTTGTAGCTGGATGACTGAAACTGATGGCCAAGTAGAGCAGATAGAGGAAACTTGTGAGCATTCTTTCTATGGTCCAGGGCCAAGGCTGATAGGAAAAGAGGTGACTACATTTGGATAATTAGTGGTGGGCAAAGAGCAAATCATCAAGCAAATTATGGGGATGAGAAAGAATGAGAAGCCCAGACCATTGGGTTCGGCAAGGTCTGATAGGAGATCCTAGGCAAAATCAAAATAAAAGGGATTTGGGGCAAAGATGAAGAAAACAGTGGGATCAAGGTGCAGCTAAGATTAGTGACTGATATCCATAATTGCTCTAGGACTTCATAAAGTTGGTGAGCTCCTCACATGAGCACTGCCTCCCTCAGGCTGGTTCCTTGGTTTTTCTTTAAGACACACACTCCTTTGTTTCCACAATGACCTCTGTGCCGGTGAATCACAAATCTGTCTTTAGACCTAACTTACAAGACTCATCCAGCTAGCCTTCCAGAGTGCAAAACAGCTTTTATTTCTGCTTCTGGAGACATTGGAATTTCCAACATCCAGAGGCAAGTCACCAGAGATATACACAATCTCGTTCTTTACTTCAATTTGACTTGCTATCACACATAGATCAGACTTTGACAGTGGTTTTCCTGTTACATCTCTAAGTCCCACGTTGTTTTTCACTTTTCCCTTCATTATAAGACAAAAACTTCCTTTCTGCTGCAGTGCTACAGACTTCACCCTCCACATCTGGCTGATCTCTACTCTGGATTGACTTTCTTGGTGGTGATACTCATTAAGGAGTCTGTTCATAGACACCTCCCTGGCCAAGCTCCTATTCCTATTCCTTTTCGCTCTGCTCGGCTGCTTCTTAATCTGAGGCCATGTCTAGCTGTCTTGCCTCTGTCAGGTAATTCTGCTGCTCGTGCTACTCACCACGGCCTCATCTCATGAATCCAATTTTCTGTCTGATCCACAGTCTCTCTAAAAGGCTTCCTTTTTGCTCCAACTGCCCTCTCACCATAAAATGTGCTTGTTTGTGTAGACTGGTGGACACCTGTAATACCCTGGCTTCCTGCAACATATTCAATTAGGTATCTTACAAAATGTGTTTGATGATGTTGATCAATATTGCTCCAAAGGCAGCAACTAGGAAAATAGAGATGAACTGCAAGTATGCAGCCCACAGAGCGGTACGGGCAGTCTCCTGGCTGCTCTCCTGAACCCTGAGCTGCCCAGGTTGTGAAGGAAAACCCTCTGCTCTCTTCCTCTCTCTCTATTTCTCATCTGCCTAAGAGCACCCCCTGATTTTCATCTCCCTTGGTCAATAGCTCCCCTTTCTCTCTTTTTCTAGTAAGAGAAGAGACCCTGAGTGGACATCAGGAGCTTTCTTTCTCCAGATAGGAGGGAACTAGATTCAAAAGAAGAACTTTTCCTTTTTTCCCGCTTCAGTGTTCAGTTGTTTCCAGTTACTCATCTTCACTGAACAAAATCATAGCTCACACTCTAGTTGTATTTTTAGAAAATGGTACCTTATATACAAATGTGAAATACAAACCAAGCAAAAAGGATTAAGAAACATAGAGTTACTTTACCAACTAGTATCAAGTGGTGCATGATAATGAAAAGATGAGCATGTTTCTACTCTGGGACTTGCTCTAATACCTCCTTGACTCTTCTCACAAGTGTCTTCTACTTCATCTATACCAGCTCTGGACCATGTTCTGAGGGAGACCCAGGCAACGAAAAGCATCCATATTGACTAGACTCTTTTTCTTTTTGTTGTTTAATTCTTTGTTCTCTGCTTCCCTATAATACCTGTCTTCCTTTTCCCTTCTTTCTCACTTGCTTGAGGACTGCTGGGAAAATGGCACTGATTCAGGCGAGAGGGAAAGAAACACAAGATAAATAGCTCAATATGCCCTGCTTCTGCTATATCTGGAGAGAGCTGAAAGGATTTATTTTTTTGCACATGACTTAAGGACATAAAGCCACACCAAACAATCAGCTCCATCTGGCTCCCAACTTAAAATCACATCTGTCTAAAACTTATCTAGTAAATAAAGAAGAGCTACATAAAATCATAACCATTGTAGATCATTATGTAAGATTTTTTGTACTAAAAACTTATCCTAAGTTACTGCCGCTGGTATGACATTGTTTAGGGTGGTTCTCAACCCAGAGTGATTTCACTCCCAGAGGATATTTGGCAATGTCTGGAGACACTTTTGGTTGTTACAGCAGTGGGAGTGCTATTGGTATCTATTGAATAGAGGCCAAAGATGTTGCCCAATATCCTATAACACACAGGACAGTCCCTTACAACAAAAAATTATTCAGTTCAAAATGTCAGTAGTTCTGAGAAACCCTGCTTAAGGGGATGGCAGTTTCTATCATGTATTTTACTCTTGTTTTCATGAGTATTCACTGTTTGTTACCCAAGACCAACGTATCACCCATTTCTGACAGACTGGAGTCATGAACAACAATAGGTAGGAGCAATTACAAGAAACTACTATGTTCAGGAGTGTTCCTTCTCATGGTCCCCCACCGGGTACTCGAGTGGTGTCTGGGACCTGGTGGCTGGTGCCACAGGAACTGCAGTGGGCTTTGTCTGGACTTTGCCAAACGTATGATCTCTCCGGGCATGCATTCTTGCATGACGCTGAAGTTGGTGTTAGTGTCTTGCGGTCATCTCAGCTAGCTCAGGCTGGTGCTATGCTATCCCTAATCCACACCTGGAATATAATTTTAAGAAGAAAAGAAACTTGACTCTTAGGTCATTTTTGACATGTTTAAAAGTAGTCTTGTGGCTTTTGGTGCTAGTTTTCTCCATTAATTCAATGTCTCCTTTGGACTCTTTCTCATTTTGCAAGGCTGTCCTTCTACATATTGCCAAGATTCTCCACAACAAACTCTGCGACCTCATTTCTGCCTCTCATTCTTTGGCCTGTGATGCCCTTGAGGCTGCTGTGCTCAGCTAAGGTCTCCATTTTATTGGGCTGTGCTGTGCTTGGACTTCCTGGACTTACAGGCGGTGGAGTGACTAAAAGAAGACCTGGACTTAACCATCAAGATAACCCCAGCTCCAGAACCGTCAAACCATGTGCCCTTCACCCTGGGTGCCCTGGGACACACCTCAGTGCCCCCTCCTGCATTACCTGCCCTCTATATTTAAAAATGCTTATCAACTAAAATGTTCTCCACAAAAGCACAGGCCTGTGCTGGTTATGTAATTTCACTGCTCTCTTGTTTCCTAAGACTTGGGCTCATCTTTCTAGTGGCCTCAAGTTATCTATTTTCTCCTCAGACTGATTTGTTTTAGGAAAAAAAAAAAAGGTGGGGGAAGGAAATAAGTTATCAGTATGGCCCTTATAGCAAGTGTACAAGCCAAGGCTTGGGAAATTCTTAGACCTTGTGCAACTGCTCAGGTTTAGGGCAGTGCATGCTCCAATACACCTAGATAAGCATGTATGCAGTTTACAGAAGAAAGTCCTCAAAATCACACTCTGTCCTACTTTTAGTAACTCAGAGGGTGAATCCAAGAATGGTGGCATCTGAATCTTTAGCGGGTGTGTCTTCCTCGTGGTCTGGCTCTAAAGGTGGTGACTAAGCTCTCCTGGGCTGGCTCCTGGAGCTGACACATGCTGGTCAAAAGAATTGGGTCGGTCTTATGCTCTATAACATTGAAAGGACAGGCCTTCAGGTGTTCAGACATGGAGGCAACTTCATTAAACTCCCAGCTCTTGATTTTGGAGAAGAGGCTGCTGAATTGCCAGATCTGTTAGGAAACATGGAAGTTCAAAAGTTAACACTGGGGCAATACCCTCGGGCTGGCTTTATTTGAAGAGTATATTACCTTTCTGTTCTTCACGTTCTTAGCTTCCAGAGAGTGTTTAGTGGCTGCTGCAGACATTTGTAAGCTCCTTCGTCAGCATCCAATTCCTAGCTCACCCTTCCAATTGATAAACTTCCCAGCCAGCCATGTAATTGGGTGGGAATGCCTACCACACACCCCCCCCTCCCACCAGCCACAGTGATCCATTCTAGAAAGACACATGGTTCACATCAGGACAATTCGTGTCAATGAGACTCTACCCTAGGACTTTTGCTTGAGATATCAAGAAGCAGATTCTCTTTTTCCCTCTGCACTTGAACTGTGAAACTTCAGTCTTAGGTGCTGCTGGCAGCCCCCAGGGACCACCAAGGGAGAGCTGTTGTCTTAGAATGGAGCCACTAAAGAGGAAGTAGAGGTAAGAAATAGAAAGTAAAAAGGTCATTTGGGGGCATTTTTGAGCTGCTAGATCAAACTTTGCCTGAGCCATTGCGTTTGGAAGAAAGTTCCCTTTATTATTTATGCCATGTTAAATTGGTTTTCTGTTGCTTAAAACTAAAAGTATCCTAACTAAGAAGAGTCTCACTGGAATAGAAACCTCAGGAGAAATCTAAGTGTCTGGCACAAAAACCCCCTTTGGCCTTTCTACCTAGGCTGTGGTGGCAAAGTCACTAGTTTTAAAATCTGGCTATGAGGGTAGGCATAACCTAATACCATACTTTCAACTTGACACTTTACCTTCAGTTTCTTATCATTGTTCCAATATAAGAAAAGCGTTTCTGGGGATCTTAGGACTATTTCTGTTTTTACTTTAAAAAAGCCATTTTAATATAAGCATCCTTTAGCGCCAACTAAATTCTCTTTTTTCCTTTCTAAAGGGAAATTAGTTTGTCTCAAATGATATTCTGGAGTGGTCAGCAATCAATTAGGAAAAAACATGAGCCAAAAAATAATGGCATTTCTAATGTGTAGATTATTTGCATCTGATTTTATAGAGGAAGATATTAGACGTTCTAGACCATACTCCTAAGGGCAGGATCTCAGTCTTATCCATGTTTATCCCTAACATGTGGATGGGTGGCAGTCAGTGTTTAACACATGGATGCAGGCCTGGATACATGAAGGAGAGTCTCATAATTGTTTTTTGGAGAAGACTGCTCAGGGAATAAATAACGGAAAACATTTAAGATGTTTTAGACACAATCAATCAGTGAAAATATGGATAAACAACTCTAACTCTCCAGTGCCAGTTTGCACACACCCACATTTTGGGAAGAAATTCAACACTGAGATTATGGAATTATTGACCTAAATGGGTACCATCAATTTGTGGTTCATATTACCACATATTTACCATGGAAAAGGATGCTAAGGGCATCTCATAAATGATGAATTAGGAGTTTCACTTTTGTATGGTATAAGCTAATAGAAGTTATGATGCAGTTCAGCAAGATTCGGAAAAAGGAATAAAATTTTTCCAAAGGGAAAGATTCTTTGGTTTATACAGCATAATTTTTTGAGAAAGTAAATAGATATTTGAACCAGGAGAGATCAGTGGACCAAATTATTTTAGAATTTCAAAATGTCTTTAACAAAGGCAAAAACTGTTTTGTTGTTTTTTATATTAGTTGATATGGGACCGAGGAGAATTTGTTGGCGTACTGTATCAGACTGCAGGCAGGAAACAGATGGCACACTTAAACTGGGTAATTTGAAGAGAATGAAAAAAAAATAACGATATGCAAATGTGTGAGCAGGGTGTAGGAAAGCCACAAGATATAATGCAGTACCCGGGCTAGTAACAATCTAGAGTGTTAATACCCTGGGCCTGAAAGGGAAGAAGAAAGGAGGTCATTGGAACCAAGAATGAGTAATTGTGTGGAGAGAGTCACCTGATACAGTCACCGTCAGTGGAGGGACATGGCCAGTGCTAAGTGTCGTGGAGGGGAGAATGAATACAGGGAGGAAGCCAGAAGAATAGATTTGTCAACTCATTCTTCCTCCTTCCAATTTCCCACTGACACACTCCCATTAGATTAGCCCAGCTGGAAGCTGGAGGGTAAGGTTGCTGATTGAGGCAGTCTGTAGAGATCAGCATCCTGGGGGACTGATCACAGTGGACAGGTTGAAGAATGAACCATGTGAGCAAACAGAAGATATCCAGGACACATACAATGAGATAAACAGGTACTACCATCTGTATTGTCATTTATATGTCAATAGGTCTTTCTTCCCTACTAGAATGACCTTTAGTTCAGGGATTATGTCGTCTTCCCAGGAACCTAGTACAATGCCAGTGCCTAGTACAGTGCTTGGCACACAGAAAGCTCTTACTAAATAGTTGTTGAATGAATGAATAAATGAATTAGGGTTTACTTGCCTCTCTGTGGACTCTCCAGGAGGTGCCTCCGTGAGAATACCTCTTCTTCTTCCACTGCAGGAGGACCATCCCTCTCTCTTGTAACAAAGTAGCACAGATATTTCTCATCAGCACAGACACCTGGGAAAGCTGGGACAGACTGACGCTGTCCAAGAACCCAGCAATGTATTGCAAAACCTCCAGCGGCAGGCTGGTTAGACAATTCTGGCTTTTCCCTCCATGGCCTGAGAGATGGTTCTTCTTTGTCTCACTCAGCTCTGAAGCAACCTCTGGCCTGATGGCAAAGGTCTTGAGCTCCTGACTATAGATCACTTTTGCCTTTTGCCCTGGGGGACGGAAATGGTTTTGAATAAATGTACATCCCAAGTAGGCGAGAGGGCATCGATGCTGGAACCAGCCATTGAGACATGACTGAATGTCTGTGTGGACATTCTTGAAATGTAGGGGGAATTCATCCCTCCTGAAGAATTTGTTGCAAGTGAAAGTGAAGGCAGAGCTGCTCTTGTTGTGTCTCCTAGTCACACACTCACTGTGGAGTTCCACATGGAGCCCCCCTGGGTTGGCAGTGGTTAGGAGGTCAGCCAGCACTGTCCCAGAGGAAAACTGTTCTGGCTCAAAATTGTATGTCTGTGTAGCAAAATCCATGAACAGCCCATCAATGCTCCTGGATTCAGAGATGACATGACCTTTAAGTTCTCTTTCTAAAGCACACAAGAGTGTGGTCTTGATGAGATCTGATTTGGGTAGGTCCTCCACTGTAATCCCTAAATCTGAAGTGTCTACTGCCTTGTGTTCACTTGGTTTACAACTCAACATGGCATCTCCAACACGAGCCCGCTTCCCACAGTAGCTCACAGGAACCTTGAAGGTATAAACAGTCTTCACTTCCTGAGCCTCAAGGTTGCCATAAACAAAGTCTCTCTCCTTAGGTGTGCAAGCAGGCATCTGACCAAAGTGAATAAGCATCCTCCCGTTGTGCACCAGATACATATTATAGTCTTTTGCATCCACAGCTGTTTTCAGTCTTTCCAGAACACCATCCTGCCAAGGGGCGAGCCCTGTCGTTTCCAGGGCTCCATGAAAGTCCTGCTGCTTCTGGTTTTCCTGCGGTTCTTTCTCTTTGAGAGCATCCTCTCCTACCACATTATTGTTGCTAGAAATCTGTTCTTTCCCTGGGCTGTTTTCACTCTTGCTCTCACAGCCTACCGATGAGCTTGTTAAAGCAGAGGCTGCATGCTCTTTGCTGAATATGTTTTCCCACTTGTCAAACTTGGTTAGGTCCATCCCTTTTTTGGTTTTGGCCAACACCTCTCGTTCTTCTTGACTCAGTTCTGCCATCTCTCCATTAGTTGCTGATAGAGATCCATGTGGTACCAAACTGGCTTCTGCCCCACCCACTGCTCCTCCCATTTCCTCCCAGCTGGCTTCACCATTCACAGTAGGTTCCCCCTCAGTGGGCTCTCTAGTTTCTGGGAAAAGTTCTACCATTTTCAAAGATCTGAAAAGGACCTTCTGGTCCTGGAGGGCCAGAGCTGTATCCAAACACTCCTCACTGGGGGTCTCTTTCATGATGTTCTCATGAAGGGTTGTTTCAGAGTCCACATTTGGCCAGCGATTCCACTCCATGGAGCAGCAGACCACACTGGCAGGGCACACTTGCAAGTGCTTGGCCAGCTTGTGGCGGGACATGGAAAGGGGGCAGCCATATTCGGAGTTGAGGCATGGAACCTCTTCTAGAGGGCAAAGGAGCTCATGCTCTGCCTCTTTGCACATGTGGAAGATGGCACCACAGGACAGGTGGCAGTTTATCACCAGACAGGAAACATCAGGCTCCACAGGAATGTGGCAGTGACGGTTAAAGCATTTCTCACAATGCCTGTGCTGCCCAGGTAGAGGCCTGCGTGCCCTGCCCTAGAGACATCAATGGCAAGGAGAAAGAGAAAACAAATGGGGAAGAGAAGTTCTATGCATGTCTGTGACTGTGTTTTAATTGACTCATTTCCTGTTTATACATGCTTATTATGGGAACCCTGGACAATCTAGAAAATCATAGAGAAGAAAGCAAAATCACTCATAATCCCACAACCCACGAATAACAACTACCAACACTCTTTTCTTCATTTTCCAATAGTTTATTCTATGTATATAGTAGATGTGTTTAGAATAGAAAAAGAAAAAAGCTGACTGTAATGGACTACACTGTTGATAATTGTTTTGAGTTGTGGATTATGGGTGATTTATATGATCCCATTAATACTATGGATACAGTTCTGCATCCTGCTTTGTAAGTCTCTATTATAAAATGAGACCATACTGTTTTATTAATGATTCTTTGCAAACTGTCTTCTTAATGGTAGTGAACATTCCAGAGTGAGTGTGCTGTCATTCATTTAACCAGCCATCTCCCCAGTGCTGGAAAGACAGGGGCCATGTCTAATTTTGTTCACATCTGTGACCCAGCACCTGGACCCTCATAGATACTCAGTTTGCTGAAGGAAGGAATTATCAGCCGTTTAGTGTATTGCTGGATGTTTGGGTTTTTCATTTTCAAAGTTTAACTAAAAATCTCTGCTCACAAATCTTTCTCAGCTCTCTGCTTTTCCCCTACTCCATGTCAATTTCTTCTAAGTTCTGCTCTAACATCTCTGGTTTGGCCTAAAGTCAATAAATATCATCAAACCATAAGGGCAAATCTGCCAGCTGTTGGGCTACAGGTTAAATGAAGCCAGCCAGATCTGGACCCCTGAACGATGAAGATCCAATAAGCACCTCGTACTTACCATAGCTTCCTAATTTCTTCTTGCTTTGTAAATCTAGGAGAGAACATGAAAATATAAATGATTAGTAAGAAAAGCATTTTGGTTATGTATATGAACAGGAGTCAAAGAGACTTTGCATACTCTTATTTAAATCCTTTCACCACCCTGGAGATAAATGGCATTGCCCATTTTATAGTCCAGAAAATGGAAGCTGGAGAAGTTAAATAACTTGTCCAAGGTGATAGAGCTGCTAAGCGAAGGAATCGTGGGCCATGTTGGCCCACACTCTTCTCACTGACCCACACTGTCCTCTGATGGGCATCTTACCAGCCATGGGATGTATATCTTCTGCTTCTTGTAACTTTTCTCCATTGTCTACCAACAATTATCCTGACATTCCACCCATCCATACATCCCATCACTGCCACATGCTCTTCTGGCCCAAGTTAACCTTCTAGCTTTCTCTCCCACTAGAGCTTCATGCCCACAACCTGATATCCAGGTTGGTCTGGGGCAGTGTACAAATGTCTGTGATATATCTACCAACTGTCCTTCACCATGGTGAATGCACCTGTGCCATGGCTACAGCAGGGGTCAGACCTCAAGGGCCCAGAGGTGGGCCAAGTGGGGACTCTAGCATGTAGAAGAGAAGATGCCCCGCCTCAGGAGAATCTAGCTCCTTGGCTCTGGTCAGTTGGTCCCATGTGGGAATTTGTTGCCAGATCATCTGATTTTTCCAGAGAAACTGGGAATACAGATTTTTGCAAGTGGTGGGATGGTGTAGTGATTAGGAGGCAGACTATATAAGATTTAACCCAGCACTAGGAGTCAGTAGTTGTGAAACTTTGGAAAAGTTACTTAATGTCCTTATTCATCATTTTCCTCATCTGTAAAGGGAGAATAATAATAGTACCTAATAACAGAATAAGAATAGTACAATAGGTACTATTGTACTAACCTGCTGTTGTGGGGAGTAAATGATTTAAATACCTGAAACTCTTAGAATGGTACTTGTCTCGTAGACTTGATGAAAGCATGTTTGCTATTATAAAATAAGTGTTTTATATTTATATATATATTTATATTTAATTATATTGCAAAAATTTTGTTACATAACATATCAAGGTAAAAATCCTTGGAATTTTGAAGTTGGCAACTCATTTAATTTTTCTAAAAAACCTCTCTATTTGGGCCAAGGAAAAACATGTATGCAAGTTACATAGGATCTATAGCTTGCCAGTTTGCTGCACCTGGTCTAGAGAATTTGTAGCATAATGTTGGCACTGTGTTGGTCTGGGATGGAGTGGGGTTGGGGTGGGTAGGTGGGGTGGAGTTAGCACCCAAAAGTCAGAAAATGCAGTATTTTGTAATTTTATTTTATTTTACTTTAGGATTTGTTTGTTCATTGTGAGTGAATTTTCCTTCAACTTTTTAAAAAATTTCAAATACAGGGGCACCTGGGTGGCCCAGTTGGTTAAGCGTCTGCCTTCGGCTCAAGTCATGATCCCAGGGTCCTGGGATCAAGCCCCACATCGGGCTCCCGGCTCAGCGGGGAGGCTGCTTCTCCCTCTGACCCTCTCCCCTCTCATGCTGTTCCTCTCTCTTTCTCTCAAATAAATTAATAAATAAAATCTTTTAAAAAAATTTCAAACACATAAGAAAGGTGAAAGAACGTATACAATGAACACCCGTGTACTCTACCTAGATCCAAAAGTTAACATTTTGCCACTTTTGCTTTCTCTCTCTCCCTCTCTCCACACACACACACACACACACACACACACACACACACACACACACACTTTTTGCCAAAACACTTGAAAATAAATTGCTGTTATCATGACACCTCATCCCTAAGTACTTCAGCATGTATTTCCTAAGACTAAGGACATTTTCCTTTGTAACTGCAATAACATTATCTCACCTAAGAAAAACTAAAAAATATTTTCTAATATTGTGTAATCTGCTGTCTGTGTTCAAATTTATTCAATTGTCCCAAAAATGCCAAAAAATATCTCTATACTTTTTTTTTTTAATTTAAACTTTTGAGCCAGCATCCCTTTAAGGTCAGTTTATTATGTTTGGGTGGTAAGTCTTTTTAAACTCTTTCAATTTGGATAAGTCCCCTCAACTTTTTTTTTTTTCCTCAGAAGAGACAGCCTTAAGTCTCAAGGAAATTATATTCTGACTTGTTCATATTTTCGTTTGTTCATCCATTCCTTCGACAAACATTTGTTGATTACCTGCAGTGTGCCAGTAAGGGAGCATAAGCATCACCTGGACTGCTTGTTTAAGTAGTTCTTAAACACCTTTGCTCAGTAGAATCAGCTGTGATGCTTGTTAAATCTATAAATCTGCACTATAAAAATGGCAGCCACCAGCCACATGTGGCTATTTGAATTTAATCAAAATGGAATAAAATTAATAATTCAGTTCTTCAGTCATACTAGCTACATTTCGAGTTTCAGGTGCCACATATGATTAGTAGCTACTCTATTGGACAACACAGCACGGAGCATTTCCAGCTGCAAAGAAAGTTCTATTGGACAGCACTGCTATGCGGGCTGTGCCTCTGACTTAAGTGAGAGGTGTGTCTGGAATTCACATCCTTAACACCTTACCCATCTGATTCTTATGCACTGGGACGACTGAGTGTGAAAGAGGGATTGTGGCAAAGAGTCCTATATCCCTAAAAGCCTGAATCAAGAGGCAGGCGAGAAGTTGCAAGTGAGACCATCAAGCAGATTCAGGGCCCAGGAGAAGATAAATGAAGGTGTTAAAGCCAGAGAGGGAATTGAGCAGAGGAAAGGGCTGTGAGGGCAGGACTGAGATGGAGCAGAATAGGATCGGGCAAGAGGACATCTTTTGGATGCAAGAGTCCAGCTAGTGGACCTTCTAACATACAACTGAACATTCAGTTAGGCTTCTGCTATATTCTAGATTGACCACTCCTGGGCGGGGGAGTCCACTGAAGACTTCCTGTGAAAATTCGTAAATGAGAGGCTAACGCAGCTGGAATTATTTGGTGCTCAGTAAGGGACCGTTTAACACTGTGACTGGGGCGTTAACCGGCAGTGGCAGGATGGCAGGGAAGGACTTGGAGCAAGAAACTACTTCATGGACAGTGCGATGAAGCTGCAGGGGTAGGACTGACGGTGGTGGAGTTAGGCAAGATGAGGCAGAGGACGGGCATCACAAGGGAATCCCAGCATTTTTGTTTCTGGCTGGAGATGGGGAAGAAAGAGTCAATTTTGATGCCAAGATTTTGAACTAGGAAGAGAGAATATTGCATGTAATTCTGAGAAAAACAGAAGTCTGCAGAGGGAATTGTTTTTTGGGGGGGAAAGATGAGCCCCACAAGTTTAATACAAGTTGCTTAAGGTGATGACAGACCATGTGGACGGTAAGATGAGGACAGAATGGAAAGATGCAGATTTGAGAATTATTCATTTAAAAGTGAGGGAGGAAGCCATGACTGGGGAAAGAAGAACACAGAATGGGCATCTAAGCCATGAAGTACCTGGCTGAGTAGGACCCCTTTTGAGACAGTAAGGAGAAGTAAAGCCGAAGGAGAGGCCAGAGAGGGAAGAGTCAGAACCATGTGGCCTGACATGAGGGAAAGTGTGAGCAATAGCCTGGAATGTTGCCTCAAGATGAAGAACAATGCTAACAATGCCACTGCTCATGGCAGGTCCCCAAAGAGCTCTTGCCAGAGCAAATGTGGCATTTCAGTTGTGCAATGGGACCCTTGCCATTCAAAATGTGGTATTTGCTTAGAGGGGAGAGGGAAGCCATTAAACACACATTCCAATATTAGCAGGGCCTGTGCCCTGGCTGGGAGAGTGTGCTCATCTGCTTTCTATGCATAAAAGACACTCATGAATAAAGATGGAGTCTGGATGATTCAGAGTCCCCTACTGGTTTTTAGGTGGGAAAGAAGAGGCAAATCCCAAATGGAATACAGCTACAGGAAAGAAGCTACCAGCAGCAGGAATGTTCAACTTCTTATTTGCCAGCCTGGCTCTGTCACAAAGTTGAGACTAGTTTCTGGGAAGGGAAAAGCAGGTCTAGCTAGTTCTGTGTGCTCTACATGTGTGTAGTGAGAACTCTGCCCCAGCTGCAGGGATATGTCTGGCTGGAGGGACAGCGGTGATGAACTCTAAGCCTAATCATTTCCTATCCTTCAGCATTACAAAGAATTAATTCTACAATTAATCATTCTACAACAAATCATTCTACAAAGAATGGTTCTTGTGAACAGTGCTATTGAAGCTGGAAACATTTGTGGGGGAGCCCTGTTGCTCTCCATGTCTTTGACGCTATTTGAAGCTATCCCTTTAAGAGAAAAGAAAAACAATGCACACAGGCAACAAAGATGCTGTTTCTTTTGTTTGTTTTGTTTTTAATTATGCTATTTAAAGATCTTCTGCCAGGCTCTGGAGATACACCAAATAAGTGACTTTGAGAGAGGACATGGGCTGAGCAGGAAGACACAGTAAGTGGAGACCACTCTTTGGAGAAATTTGACAGTCGAGGCGGGGATAAAGATAAACATAACCTAAGGGCATAAAAAACCCATAGCTGAACCTTTTGTTGTATATGTAGGGGAAAATTCCCACTGAGATAAAGGACGATCCAAAATTCTTGATTGTCTAGTTATTGCTGGGTAAGCAACGTGACCATTGCCCTGGTTTGCCTGAGACTCTTGGTTTTAGTTCTGAAAGTTCTAGATCCCAGGAAACCTCTTATTCCCACACAAACTTAGATACTTGATTGATCATCTTAGGTTGTAGCCAGTTGGTCTTGCCCCAAGATGATCAAATTATATGTATATATATATATCTCATTGGTTATCTTGTGACATAAGATGCCTTGTTCTCCTAATCTCCATTCTAGTGCAGTGACTGGATCCTTATCCTCCACAGTGTTTGTCTGACTTTCCTAGATTGAGTGATTTTTCTACATTTTGGATGTCAGGGGGAAAGAGTAGTAAGATTTTAGTGCCTACCATGTTCTTTACATAACATCTCATCTAATCCTCACAATGGCCATGAGACGTGGGTTTTACCCTTTCCATTGGAACACAAAGATGCCTACACCCCTCCAGTGGAACACAAAGAAGCCTAAGTTTATCTGGTTTCAAACTCTGTACTCTTGGCTATATCATGCTGCATCTCTCAGAGACCCACAAAGACATGTAGTCTATCCCCATGATTTGGGAAGAAAGCAAGCCCATGACTAGAGCCTATCAGGGCAGAGCCTCTCTTCCTCCAGTTGGGCACAGAAAGGTGTATACACCTAAAATCTTTCCAGATTGTAGAGGATCTGGATGATCTTCATTCATAGGAAGTTCATAGAAAGCACCTTCATCC